GTTTCATGACAAACTCAGGGCTGTACATTAAAGTATAGTAAATGCAAGAGTATATTCTGAGTTTTGTTAAAAAATTTAGGTTTTATAATATTGAAACTGCCTTTCATATACTTCAGTAATTTATATGGTTACAATTAGAGAGGAGCACATATAAATCCCTTATGCATTTATGATGCATGCTACCATTGATAAGAGAAATTAACTGAGCACATTCAAATGCTGGCTGAAATACACTTCCATTGTGTCACAGATACCACTTATAATTAAGCTGAGGCTTGAAGGGAAAAAGAGCAGAGAAGAAAAATGCATTAAGAGAAACCAAGTAAAATCTGTTTCTGTGTGTGTGATTGTGGCGGATTTATGGTTGCACATGGTGCTTTGCTGAATATTAAACCACGAACTAAAAAGACAACAACTGAACCATCGTGAGAAAATGCTAAAGGAAGTCTTTGTGGTTTTAGAAGTATCAGAGGAGCCAACAGTTTTAATGAGGCAGCAGTGCTGTACATGCCAGGAAATGATAAGGTTATACAGGTTAGAATAACGGCAGCTAGTGTAACAGTATGAAGCTAGAGTGGATGTGTTGTTCATAGCGGAGCCTACACAGGCTACACAGCCATGGCAGAGGCAGTGAGACATAATAGGGACAAAGTGGGCCCCGGTCTTTCCTTAATACAGCCGGTAAGAATGTCTAAGCTGAGCCTTGATTTTCTAAAACATTGGATAAAGTTGTTTTCTTCTGTACATTTGATTTGTTTTGCCTGAGACTTGTGACAAACAGTCAAGATGATGTCAAAATGGAAAGTGTTTTGCATGTGATCTCTGCATGCACTCATTTGATGGAGCTGGGTGAGTTGTAACATTCTCACCATGTCTTTTAGAGGGCATTCGCATATTGAATTGTTGTCTGTAGTCAAAGGATTGTGTCTGAGTGTGTGCGTGCTTTCCTGTGTGTGTATGCATTCCTACTTGTGCCCCACCCTCAAATTCCCTTGCATGTGTGTGTTGATATGAGCAGAGGGGGGATGTCACATAAGAAATGTCCTTTTTAATCAGGGGAAAAAATATAAAATGACTCTGGAGCAAGGCAAGCATATTAATGTGTCTCATTTGCATACGCTCGTCAGCCAGGATACGTTTATAAAAAACACAAACTGGATTCGTCAGTTCATTTCACATTATTCCATTGTCTATCTGCCTTTGTTATATGTTAAAGATAAAGGCAGAAATCAAATTGAAGAAAAGGGCAAGCTGCTATCTCCCCAAATGAGCAACAGCTCATCAGCCTAGTTTAAATCACAGATTTCTATTCCAAAAGGCAGCCGCCTCTGTAAAAAGGGCCCATTCAAATAAGGTCTTCTCTGATATAAGCATGCCTGGTGAAGGAAGCTGGGGTGCCACATAAATACAATTTAAATCCTAAGTCATTTAAAACAGCCTAACAAAGTTTTATCTTTCTTAGCAATTCTCTCCCAATATTATTTTATAAACTTTTTTATTTTTAGGCTTTTAAAATATTTTTTTTCTTAGATGAGTACAGCATTATTCGTCACATTCAGCACAATCACGTCATAAATTTAAGTAGGCTTTGACAGAAGCACATCTACTGTAGCTGCTACACATGAGCCTGTAGAACATAGCATGGCCATTATATTCTTGATGAATAGTAGAATTGCTTTATGATACTTGTGGGGAGCAATTCAAAGGGCAGCCCACAAGTGTCACATTCCTTTAAATACAAGTGGAAGCTGGTCACAGTCTGTAATTCATGTCCACTAGATAAGAATCCACCATCAACAGTGTGTTGGAGAGGCCAGTGGCTAAAAGAACAGGCACCCCTTATGTCTACTAACCTCCTACTGATGAGAGAGAGGGAAAAAGAGAGAAACTATTCAAATGAATGATGAAACAAATGAGCCAAACACAATGTCAAGTCCTCTATGCTTTAGAAACATACTGTAGGTGGAGAGAGAGAAACAGAAGTCTGAGACTGGCAGAACCTCAGTTGCCCTTTGTGCCTGTAAAGTATATACTGAACATGCATGCACATATTTCGTGTGTGTGTGCATCCATAAGTTATCTAAAAGGTTCCCTGTCTCTCTTAAAAGTGAGCTTACCTAATACCAGTGCTTTACATTGCCCCTGCATAAAAGGATTTTAGATGATTATAGTCATACGTTACAGCACAGTGGCTGCCACTGTTACTAGGCAGCATACTAATCAGCGTAATGAGATATTATACAATATTTTGTTGACCAAAGCAGAACCGTGGTTATTGTTTCTGAGGGTTTGACCCCTGCCAGCAGCCAGAGGATGTGTGCAGAAAGATGTTTATACCTCTCCATCTGGAGAGCAGATGGATCTCTATTAAAAACAATTTTATTCTTTAAAAAAAAAATTGTATTCACTGATGTTACATCATGTAATAAAACACTTGCAGTGGTGCTCAAAAACTTGTGATATACAGTACTTTTGTAGCATTACAACACCATACAATACAACAATACAGCAAAGTAACTATTAGCTGCTGTCTGGTGGATTAGAGGGTGTGCTTATATGTTTTTGTTTGTTTGTTTGTTTGTTTGTTTGTTTGTTTGTTTTCCCACCATGTATGGACAAATTAATCTTTCATTGCACTGGGAAACTTTTCAACACAGCCAACTGGTTTTTGCTTTTTACCACCCTGTAAAGTGTAATACAGTTAGGTAGCAAGAAGAAGAGACAGTAAAAGAATTGGGGAATAGAAAGAAGCAGAGGAAGAGTAAAGTGATTTACATCAAACGTAGGGCAGCTCTTTAATGGGATATTGCGCCAAGACAAGTGTCATGGCACCAAGATAAGAGTGCTGTGTTTACTGGAGTAACCCCTTGGTTTTAAGTGCTATTGTTAATATCATAATTGTAGTATTGCGGTGGCTTCCCGACAATGCCTTTGCTTCGTTTCATTAAGGCGTGTAATTGAAGGAATTCTGATAGGATGGGCACAAGTAGCTTAATTATACACTGCTCGCTGTGTTTACTGAGTAATTATTCCATCCAAAATGGTGTTACATTTTGAAAAAGTTCTAAAGAGGTGCAGTTTTTTTCCAGCCCCTTGGTGCTGACAATTCATGCAGCGCTCTGCGCATCAAAGACAATAAATTTTATTTCCCTGTACCAGGTGATGCGGCACAGGTGTTGTTTCACTAAATGAAGCAACACATTAGTTATGAAAATGTGGTTGGATAATATTCTATTTGTAATCTGGAAAGCAAATACAAATTAGCTCAGCACCATCCACCATGGCCCTGGTCCTCCAACCTAAATGACCACACAGGCCCCGTGTCCATACCCATACATACATTTCCATGTCCCCATGGCCGTAGACATACCAGATCTTCATCACGGTTGCAATAATAAACACACAAAGTGCACTGGCAATGGGAAACACCTGGGGACATCATGGTCTGGGTTAAAATAAGTAATCAGGAATAAGGTTAGACAATGTTCATTGTAATGATTACACTAATAACCACAGAGTTAAGGTTATGGCATGGTCATGGTTAAACCAATCAACAAATGCAACAATAACCACAACAACAAGAAATGAACGGTGGTCCCTCATTTTGTGTTTTGGTAAAATCTCGACCGCCCCCCACCCCCGCAGACTTTGACCTCACTTTTCCCTTTGCTCTCATCATAATTAAGTGTGACGTAACATTCAATTTCCAGGTCCAAACTCTCCCAGACCCAAATGGTGGAGCCTGTCACCCTCTACACAATAACATCTTTTTTTCTTTAGCGAGGCATCATTGAGAGTAAACAAATCTGACTTTATGGCAAAAGAACCAGTCTTTCTTACATGTAGTAGTAAATATATTCCAGTATATAACTATGTACGTCTGACTCATTTTTAATAGTTCCCAACTTTTACTGTTACTTTCATCAATGTAAAATGTGTCAGTGTATAGTGTTTAGATTCACTTTGTGCTAGCTAGCTAGCTAATATTATGTTACATGACAGGAAAGCAGAGCACTTTTAGAATCTTTCTTTTAATTAATTAGGGAATAATGTGACTTATCTAATGAATTGTAGTTATTTCACAAGGAAAGGGGTAAAATGACAGTTAACCTTTGATTTTTGATTCAGATCTATTGAAACAATGGAGAAAACAATACTGTGGCATATGGAGAGGAGGAGAATGAATCGAAGGTTGGACCCAGAAACAGAATGTTACATCATTACTTAACAAGCGGATATCAATCACTAGAGGTCATGTAACAATAAAATGTAACTATTGTTCATAATATGATGCTTGCACAACAACTTGTAGTGTTGTTTATAAGAAGAGGACAGTCTTATATGTTCTAAATGCAGTGCCTTGTTTGTTTTTCTGAAACCTAAATTGGTTTCTTTCTTTTTTTTGTTTGTTATTCTACAATTCTGTTATTATAATATGATTCTTTTTATCTTGTTTTACAGGATGGAGGACTCTAGCTTGTGTCTTGGTGTGTCATCAGCAGTGCCTGATGCTGATTCCCATCTGAGCAGTGCAGTCTTAAATGGCCGCTACCCCATAAGCCAAAAGCTTCACCAACTTACTGCCCAGTTAGGACACGCTTTTCCTGACCTACACCACCCCCAACAGATACCTGAAGAGAAGGCAGCCACACCTTTGGATGAGAAGACCCACCACACAGCTCTGGCTAGTCAGCCTATCAGCAGTCAGATGGCCCTGCTAGCCAATCAGCTCAACCGAGACATTGACGCAGGGGCACTAAGTGGGTTGAATGGACGAGTTGACCTACAGCAGTTCCTCAATGGCCAGAACTTGGGCATAATGTCCCAGATGAATAACATTGAAGATGATGCCCGCAAGAATAGGAAGTATCCCTGTCCATTGTGTGGCAAGCGCTTCCGTTTTAACAGCATCCTGTCATTACACATGCGCACACACACAGGAGAGAAGCCTTTCAAGTGTCCATACTGTGACCATCGAGCAGCTCAAAAGGGCAACTTGAAGATCCACCTCCGAACCCATAAGCTGGGGAATCTTGGTAAAGGCCGTGGCCGTGTCAGAGAAGAGAATAGGCTGCTGCATGAGCTGGAGGAGAGAGCCATTCTTAGGGACAAACAGATGAGAGGGAGTGGCAGTCTCCTCCAGACAGCTCAAACACCCCATCTGGGCCTCAATAGCAGCTCTAACACCCATCAGCAGCAACTAAGCTCAGCCTGTGGCCTCCTTGCTCCCTCTGGTCTTGCTACTCCAGACACAATTACTCAACCTTCTTCTTCACCCAAGCCAACTGGCACCCAGGACGAACAGTCCCTGAACCCAATTACAGGATTCCGCTGTACCTTTTGTAAAGGGAAGTTCAAGAAGCGTGAGGAGCTGGACCGCCACATCCGCATACTCCACAAGCCCTACAAATGTACTTTGTGTGATTTTGCTGCCTCTCATGAAGAGGAGCTGATTAGTCATGTTGAAAAGGCCCACATAACAGCTGAAACCACACAGGGCCAGGGTGCTGGTGGTGGCAGTGGTGTGCAGATGGCCACTGAATTCCGTTGTGACGTGTGTGGCCAGGTGTTCAGCCAAGCTTGGTTTCTAAAGGGCCACATGCGCAAGCACAAGGACTCTTTTGAACACTGTTGCCAAATCTGTGGTCGTCGCTTTAAGGAACCCTGGTTCCTCAAGAACCATATGAAGGTGCATCTCAACAAGCTGGCCATCAAGAGCAAGCCGCCTCAGTCCAGTGAGCAGGACATGGCTACTGTTAATAGCATGAGCAGTCTGGCTCAGGAAGCTCATGCCAACCTTTATTCTCGCTACATCTCCTGTCTTCAGGGAGGCTTCCTTTCACCAGACAAACAGAGTCTGAGTGAGCAGCATCAGATGCTGGCTAAAGCAGGGATAGCTATGAAGGAAAAGGAGATGTTAGGGAAGCTACTAGGGCCAATGGCAGGAGGTATTGGCCATGGGCTAGGTGAAAATGAGAAGCGTTCACTCCTGGGCTGTCTCAACCTTGTGCCACCACTTAAGTCAAGCTGCATGGAGCGCCTCCAGGCAGCTGCAAAAGTTGCAGAGATGGACTCTCTCAATAGCTATCAAGCCTGGCAAATTATGACTCGTGGCATGGCTATGGACAGGACTTTTTTGCCTAAGGAGCCGCAACAGCACCCACACCATATACCCACAGGCCAGGAAGATGAGATGGGTGGTGCTGGTGCCTTGGCTTCCTTCTCAAAGGACAAACAAGACTATTCCTTGATCTCTTCCAATGATAGCTCCAAGCAGAAACAGCTCTCAGAGGCCTTGCAGGGATCCAAGGCTTCTAGTGGAACCATGATGTCCATGAAGGAGGATGGAAGAGGCTTTGACAGTCATCGTGACTTAATGTCACACCATGGTAGTGCTGAGGCTCCTGGAGCCCTGGCTGGCTTGGGAAGTCCAAACATTGACTACAGCCTCTCCAGCCTGAAGGAGAAGCCTTCAGAGTGCCCAGACTGTGGTCGGGTCTTCAGAACCTACCATCAGATGGTTGTCCACTCCCGCATCCATGGCAAAGACAGGAGAGGCATTGAGGAAGTGCTCCATCAACAAGGTCTAGACGAACGCCGTGGATCAGCCAGTGACCCTGAGTCCCAGTCCATTAGCCGCTCCACCACTCCTGGTTCATCCAATGTAACAGAAGAAAGTGGAGCTGGAGGAGGACAGTCCCAGACAGGAAGTGTCCAGGATGACAGTCCACATCCTTCCTCACCATCTTCAGGTAAGGAAAAAAAAATCAGAGAATGACTGAGGTTGTATTCTTTGGTCAGTCTATTGATAAAGGGATCTAAATATTATCTCATGACATACACTTTGGAAATATGTTTTTATATCTAATTAAATATTAGTATGTTACTGTAATAATAATTGAAACATTTTCCAATAAAAATTGTGTAACAGCTCTACAAATTGCCTTAACTGTACACAGTATGCAAAAATCTAGAATACAGAATATATTTCTGTGCAAAGGTAAACAGTGTTAAATGATTCAAAATTATACCATCTTCCAATAATTATACAGTGATAAAGTTGGAGTGTTGAGGGATCTTATGTGCAGTATCATTTGGAACACACAGGCTACATAAACAACACTGAAAATAAGGGCCCTACTGTACAACCTCATAACCTATGAACAGCACATTTTTCTGTTTGGCCTGGGTTCTGCTGAACACAAGATCACTTCACATATGATAACTACCAGTATGAAAACCTTTATTGGAGTTGTGCTGTATATTGTAAATATATGTATATGGTATCAATGTGCCAAATCCATCGCTTTAAAAGGGAATAAAAAATGACTCCTGCCAAAGAATAAAGGTCTTTTCACACAAGATGCTTTTTTTGTCAATAATAATCTTTAAACTGATATACTGTTGACAAAGCCTTGCATATCAATGAGAGCACATTGCTGAACAAAAGGCTGCATCTATTTTTTTTGCCACGGACAGGAACACATATGACCAATCACGACCCAGCTTGCTGGAATGTTAAAACGCTTTTAACATAAGTACACAGTACACCTGTCAGCTAAAGCTATTTGATTTATTTAGTAAAGTGGCGTTCAGTATATATTTTACCTCAGACACACAGCCAGCCACTAATACGGGCCAATTGTGTCATTCTAATTGCTCCTGCGCCTCTTCAGTTGCTGTGGCAGCAGCAACTCCTCAAATTATCCCACAGACATAGAGTAGGTCCAAAAATGACCACAATACAGTTTCAACCTGTGTACCAAGCAGTGAAACTTTCCAAGTTGGCTTTTATCAGTATAGTATGCACTCCTGGTATTTAGCAGCATCAGTACCTGCAGGTCATCATCGCTTGATGTGGACTTTAGTAGTGCGACCTTTTAGAACTTCACATTCCATATTTGCTTCACATTTGGTGTGAATATATGTGGTGTGTTTAAACAGCCTCTGAAAAAAATAGCTATTTCATATCATTTATTTGCACTGCTCTGTATATGAAAAGCCCTTAAGATGAACACATTTAACTTACTTAAACTCAAATAACCACCCAGCCTAACACAAGCTATATGTAGGATATTTTACACACAGATACAGGCAAATGAAAGGAAAAAAGTAACATAAGTAAGGTGTTGGGCCACAACATGCCAACAGATATAGGTATATTTTGTCTCACTTGCAGGTTCTTATGCCGAACATAATAACACTTGTCCCCTGACACTGCTTTGTTGTTCCTACTATTCACATTAAGCCAACCACAAGACTCCAGAGAACACAGTCCAGGAAGACATCTGCCTCACCATTGCACCCACGTTTGCAGGTTAGCAGTCCCAGTGGTACATGGGTAAAGACTGGGAGCGAAGGGATGAACTCATTTTAGCTACAGTGATTAATAAATGGCTTTAATAAACATGTTGGAGACAAACATACCCCTCCCCAACAAAGAGAAGCCAGCCGGGGCGAGAAAAGTGTATGTTTAGTGGGATTAAGGGAGGTGCTTTGCTAATGATTACACAAGTTTTTAAAGGTAACTTTCACTTGCTCCTCAGGGCACTATGCTGGTGTTAAGAAGCGTGTGCAGTAATTAGGTCATGACTGTACGATAATCAGTTGGTTTAAGCTAAACAAGACACTAATTAAAGATATACATATAAAGCAGGTCAAAAAAACTGGTGAACTCTATTTGCAAAAGCGAGGATGTGCTTTTAAATCTTTTGAGAAAAATATAAATAAATATAAATATAAATCAGAGTGGCTTAGCTTAAGGCTGTAAGCAACTTAATTCCACCAATGGAGATGAAATTGTTTATTTATTCACAGAGGCATGAAGTCCTTATCATGCCCGTGTAGTGTGATGGGTTTGAACATGGGATAGGCTATGTTTATTTTAATCTAAGAAATAATAACAGACAACCCCCCACCCCAATTAGGAATTAATGAAAATGAGAGTGAGATAAAAACCTATTTTCTTTATAGAGACTATTAAACATAACACTTTCTCAACAGGGTGGGGGTGTAGCGGATGTAATTATCTTCTGAATTTTAATGCTGGAACTTTCTCTCTCCATCTGCCTCTCTCTCCCTCTCTGTCTGTCTCTTTTGACTTAAGCACTTTGAATCTGATGGGTACAGCTTGTGGCGTTTCAACAACTTCAGAAGTACTGTATTAACAATGAGTGTGCAGTATACAAAAAAGGAACTAAAATAATAATTGCCAAAAAAACAAATAGTATTTACCACCAAGTGCTAACAAAGAACAAATAAATGCATTAGATTTAGTCGAGTGGTTAAATCTCGCCCCTTGGGCACTATCTTTGGAGGAGGAGGGTAGGATTAAAGACAAAAATATAAGTCCAGAAATAAATTAATATTGGCAATTACTGGCAACTTTGCACAAGAATGAAGCCCCACTGGTTGCCACAAGGCCTTAACACTGCTCTTCTTGCTGCCTTGATGTAACCGTGTGCCTGGTATGTGTACAGATAGCTTGTTGCTCCTTTAACCCAGTGCTCAGTCAAGAGGTTACACTGCTTGAAACATTAGCACTATTTTAACACATTCTCAGTTCTGCCACTCTCATATCTGAAAGGCTGTGCATTGTTATTGTAGAGCTTTGCGACTGTAAGTGCGAAACAGGATGTCAAACTGTAGCAAATTGCTAGAGAGCATGACAAAGCTGGAAAATAGTAAAGAAGAGTAGAGTAACATGATTAGGCTCTTAGTGATCTGAATAAAGTGGGCTAAAGTTTTACAGAAAAAAATGTGAGAAGTAAACAGATTTGACATTAAAATGTTTAATATGGCTGTTTTGCTACTTCCTGTGTTCTAATCAGAAGTAACGAAACTTGTCTTTCTTCACAACTTACACATTGTGATTCACATTTGGAGATGAGGGACTCTCAAATTAGAAGCTTTGATGTGTGAGAAAAAAACGTGTCTGAGTCTCATGTGGAGAAAGGTGTTATGCTTTTCCTCTGCATGCATGTTTGTTGTGCGTGCCTGTGTCAGGGTGTGTGTGTATTGGGTGGTATAAGCTTTACAGTAAGTGTGCATATCATTCTCTTCTGAACAGGATGTGGCTACTGTACCATTGTCTTTATCTTAATATCTCGCATTCAAAAAGAAGAATTTGTAGTTCTCCCTGTATGTGCGTGCATGCACCTGCAAGTGTGAGTCTGTGTACATGGGAGCCTCTGCCCCATCACCTACCCACAGCAATTTTGAGTTAAACTTAAATTATAGTAATCAACAATAACATCTCAACTGTGAAAGAAGGTCAACTGCACTGCTTTTGTCTTTGAGACGGCATTTGTTTAAAAGCAATGAATGAAAGGGATAAGTGAGGGGGAAAAAGGGCAGAAAAACAAAGGCCTCTGTCAAAGATGTCCTTTAAAGACCTTCCTTATTACAACATAGCTCAGCAGCTAACCTTGAGCATGTTTCTTATTCAATGAAATTCTTTCTCTTTATTCCAAGAAAACAAAGAGGTAATTACATTTATGCCCATCACCATCTTTTTTGTTTGGCTATCCTTGGAGTGACTTCACGTCATCATATTTTTTTCCTGCAGCGATCATGCCTCAAAGACTGTGTTGAAAAAAAAAAACACACTGCAGTGTAGTAGGAAGGATCAGCCACAGGTACAACTGACATGAATGAAACTTGTGACATCTGCACTGGAAACATTGCCTTTTTGTGAACTCATACATGAAATTAATGAATGACTAAAATTCCTCATTATGCATGATAGCTGCTGTCATAGTTCAGGTAAAATAAGGCTGGATATGTAAGAAAAATAGGTTTACATGTACCTCCACCACCTTCCCACTCCCACCTCTTGGCTTCGGGCTGTAAAAGCCTGTATGCACTCCGTCTGGCTCTCTCTCTCTCTCTCTCTCTCTTTCTCCAGAGAACACTCCATGTCTACAATTTTTAAGAGGAACAGCATTTTAACATGGTGAGGATTAGCCTGCATATCCCTGGTCTTCACCGGAGCTCAAACAAGCAGGCAAAATGCTTGCTTGATACAAATTGAAATTGGATTTGCCAACTTGACGCCTTAGGTTATAAAGCGTGGATATTCATCTAATTGCGACAGTACAATGGAGGCGTAATTACACATGTGGACAAAGTGTTACAGTGTAATTACTGTGTCATTAAAGCGGGAATAAAGTAGCGTTGAACAAGATCCAGACCATTATGAATATGCATGGTGTCAAATCCAATCCAGCTAGCTGTTATCTACTAATACTGGTCAATGACTTGTCAGTACTGGCAACATTAAAGAGGAATATATAGGATTTTTATTATTGATCTTTTACAATGTATGACTGAGAAATGCTTCAGATGGAGATAACCAAAGCTAGAAATCAACAAATGTGGTTAAAACAATAGATTCAGTTTCAGGATGGTTTATTCATCTACCAGTTATTCTGGATGCTGGTTCTGAATATTTTGAGGCAAGTGTGTAAAAATGCATCTTTTAGTTGAAGTTAGTGTATGCATACAATATTTTCAAACAGGGTCAGATTTATATATCTTTACCTACCATTGCAAGCATACTCCATGACTGGATTAAGCAGTATGTTGCCTTGGGCAAAATTGGCTGTAGGGTCCATAATTTACTCCAATAACATCTGCTTTTATCATGAGCATTATTAAACATTTTATTATGTTAAAGCAGTGGCACTTATTTAAGAGTGTGGTTCGTTTTCATTTCACACACAAAAAGTCCACAACAACTTGAAACACGCTG